CAGTAACAATGACAATGAGTGATGATATCTAGCATTTATATGGCACTTTAAAATTTGTTAAGCACTGTACATGTTGTCTCACTTCTTCCTCACAACCCTTTGCAGTTGGGTACTATTATTTATTATAGTTTTATTTATTTTTTAAATGTTTTATTGTTCTTTTTTTAGATATAGCCATATCTTCCTCATCATCCCTCCCTTTCACTTCCCAGAGAACCATCTCATTTTTGGAGACAAAAAAAAAACAACAAAAAAAAAACAAGAAAATATCAGCACATCTAATCAGTACATACAAAAATCTGAAAGTATAATCCATGGACAATAGTTCTGGACCTCCCACCTCTGAAAGGGAGTGAGGTGGGAGAGTCTTCTCATAGCTCCTCTTTTGTGCTATTCTTATTCTTTATTCACTTTTGCGCTTCTGTGTGTGTGTGTGGTGTGTAACTGTTCTTTCTATTTACATTGTCACAGTCATTTGTGTATATTAATTTTTCTTGGCTCTGTGTCCTTCATTTTACATCATTGCATGTAGATCTTTTCGTGTTTCCCTGTATCTGTCAAATTGATCAATTCTTACAGCATAGTAATATTGTATTACATTGATGTACCATAATTTACTTAAGCTGTCCCCAATACTGTTTTTCCAATTCCTTGCTTCCCCCCCCAAAAAAAAAGCTTTTGTAAATATTTTAGTGTATATTAAGACTTTCTTTTTATCAATAGCCTCCTTGGGGTATAAACTTAGTAATAGAAGCTCTGAGTCAAATGGGCATTTTTGTCACTTTATTTTTATAATTCCAAACTGCTTTCCAAAATAGCTGTGCTACTATGTGTAGCTAATATAAAATCCCTATTTTACAAGTAAGGAAACTGAGGCTGAGAAAGATTAAACAACTTTCCCCCAGATTGCACAGTTAATAAGCATCTGAGGTGGGATGAAAGCTCAGATCTTCCTGGTACCAAGTCCAGTGATCTTATTCATTGTGCCACCTAACTGGCTGATATTACTCTCATTTTACAAAGTAAATTACTTACTTGAATACCTGACTGATGATTGACATAAATTTTAACATATACTTATAGCATGTGGACATATTACATATCCATATACAAAACAGCAAAAACTGAATTTCTTTTGTTTTTAAGCAAGAAAAATTCAAGATCCTGAAAGAAATGGAATCATTGGCATAAGTTTAAGGTCTAGGTTCTAGACAAAATGAATCTAGCTGTGTGTCTTAAGGATCTGGTCATCTCTTTCCAATACCAAGACCTTCCTTCAGACCACTTTCATTAACATCCCAAGGTATGTCATCTTCCCTCTCTTTTCTGGGGAGTTGAAGATAACTAAATTTACTTGACATTGATATTGGTTTTATAAAATCTTCAAAACATTTTATACATACTATCTTCTTTGGGCCACTCACCAATCCTGTCAGGGGGTACTAAAGACATTATTATTCCCATTTTATAGGTAATAAAACTAAAGCTCAGAGAGAATATTTTGCCTTTGGTCCCACACTAAATAAGTATCAGAAGTTGGACTTTTTCCCACATCTTCCTAACTCAGAGTATAATACATTTTTAAAAAATACATTATTCTGTGCAGCTTCTCATGATTGGTGTCTCAGAGGTTCCAAATCTAGGAGTCACTGTGTGTATACATATATATGCCTGTAAGTATATATGTATGCTTATATATATGCATGTGTGTATTGTTTATGTATTTGTATATACATGCACACGTGCATACATCTAGCCCTAATATTGCACTCCAATACCATGAAAGCACATGCCTGGAAAAGTGACCTTACAGAGGTGTTTATAGGAATTATATGGAAAGAACACCTGTTGGGGTCTAGTGTCTTAATTACAACCCATGTGAATTTTCTATGTCTCAGTTTCCTCATCTTTCAGATACAGAAGTTGAAATTGATGATCTCTAAAATCCTTTCCAGCTCTAAATCTCATAACTGCTTGACAGCTTTTCTTTTTATGTCTTAATGGATTTTATCTGGCCAAGCACATTAATTAGATCCTCTAGGGATATGAGACTACACTTTTCCTTTAAGTTGCCAAACCACTGAATGGGATATATACCACTTACTCAAATAAAAACTCAGGTATCTCCAGGTAGAAAACAGAAGGTTTTATTCTAGCAAGTCTCGCGCGAGAGTTGGGCATCTCCTACCCAGGGCAGACTGGAGTAGTGAGGCCCAGCACAAACAACAGCAAGCAGTATATATAGTCTTAGACAAACCACTCCAAAAAGCCCCCTCCTCACTTGTTTGTCTCAATCTCTTTATCCTCATTGGCTGAGGCAAGAGACCTCACAGTCTATATTTAGAATCCAAGAGATACATTTTACTCAAAACATGCTTGGGAGCTAGAAGCTTGCCTTATTTGGTAAAGTTAAGGTACAAAACAAAAGAGGGGGTGGTTACAAAACAAGGGACGGGGTGGGCAGCTGGTACACAGTGCCCATTCCCCAAAAACGAAAGTGAAACTTAGGCCCAGCTTATGCTGAAGCCTCACTACATTTTGGAGCATAGCTTGTATTTCACGTAAGAAACTTTCACTTGTCCCACACACCATGTAGGCACCATCCTCAGAGTGTCACACCTGAACCACTGGATAATGGTGATTGTGTATTGTTTCTTTAAAAAATAAATAGAATTTCTAGAGCAAATTTAATTAAACAAAGGAAAAGATATTATCTGAAATAAAAACAACCTCATTCATCCATCCTTTGGTGAATGATCAAGAAGATAAAGAGAAGAATTCTAAGTTTGATAATTTTTTTGTTTGGTTTTGGTTTGGATCAAAAATTTCATCTGGATTGGAAGTTATTGGTGAGAAACTTCCTGAACAGTGCAGATTAACAGCTTCTCTGCAACAATATGGATTTAGGGATTTGCCTGGGCACTTAGAGGTTAAATAAGTTCCCTAAAGTCACAGAAGCTAGGATGTGTCAGGGCAGGACTTGAACACAAGTCTTCCTGACTGTGAAGTCAGATCACTATCATTACCTAATGCTGTCCCTTATGAAAACTTTATGTGTAACAAGTCAATTCAACAAGCATTGATTAAGTAACTCTTTTGTGACAGGCATGGTATCATTTTTACTCTATTAGGAATGCAAGTAATTAAAAGCAGTACCAGAAGGAGTGAGTGTGTGTGTGTGTGTGTGTGTGTGTGTGTGTGTGTGTGTGTGTGTGTTGGGGAGAACACAGAATAAGTAAAATTTTCACTGGATAATGACATAGAAGAGGGATTATTAAGCTTCAATCCCCTCCAACTCTGACCCATGAGGGCACAACTGGGAGCAATTCAGAGAGGCAAATAGAGGCTTGATGAAGCAGAAAGGAAAAAAAAAAGCTGAAAAAAATTTTGCCATTAGCTGAAGCCAAATGGGCTACCTCTGAATACAATTAATTTTTCATATTAAGAGTTCCCTTGAAGGTTGGATGATAATAGGATAATAGACCTAGAACTTGGAGGGACCTTAGAAATCGTTTAGTCCATTTAACAAATGAGGAAACTGAGGCCTGGGGCAGTTAAATGATTCAACTAAAATCACAAAGTACAAGTTATAAAAGGGATTATTTTTCAAGAATGGGTTGGTATGACTTGTTCCTGAAAGTCCTTTCACCTTTGAAATTCTTGATAATGAAGAAAGAATGTCAATAAGAGCATCAAATGTTAAGTAATGTTCCTGGACTGAGACTAGGCATGGGCATTGTCAGGGCTGGTGACTGTACTGGGACACTTCCACCATCCAGTTATATAATTTCATTTTTATACTTATCTGTTCTGAAATTTTTACCATTCATGTTACCACTATTGACATGATGAAATATACAGATATCACCTCTGGGCCTCTTCTTTATTTTTTAAAGAATATTTTTATTTTAATTTTCTCAATTACATGTAAAAACAATTTTAGCATTTCTTAATAATTTTTGGAGTTCCAAATTCCATCTCTACCACCATTCTTTTCCCCCTTCTGGAGAAGGCAAGCACTTTGCTATAGATTTTACACTTCTCTCTGCCTTGGAACTTTGACCAGAACTTGACCAGGACTCCTACTCTTCTGGAGCTAGAAACTCTAGTGCATTAATATTCCTTTTCACCCTGGGACTATAACCCAGAACTGTGTATGGACAACACAAAAGGGTCCTGCTCCTAATACTAGCAGAGTGTCCACTGTAATCTCCTGCTGACCAGTTCTCCCACACCCCAAGAGTCTGTGTGCTGAGAGCTCCTGAACCTGCTGCCCTGATAATGTAGCCACCCCCAAGGCCCAGTCTGCAGGTGTGCTTCTAGGGCCCATTATCACTACCCCAATGAGACATACATTCCCTGCCAATCTCCTAAGGTATCTTGGGTTAGAAAATTGTTTCACCCCCATCTTTTTTTGTTTCTGCAGCTCCAGAATTTTATTTGAGACATTATTTTAAAGTTGTTTGGAAGGGAACTTGGGAGAGTTCAAGTGAGTTCCTTTTATTCCTCTGACTAGGCTCTGACCTCTCTTAGGCTATTTCTCTTATCATAACAACACAGATTCTTTGATCACATTAATAAGCTGGCAACTTGGGCTCGAAGTTCCTGAGTAAATTTAACTTGTGCTCCCTCCAACCCAAAAATGTTACTTTAAAGGTTTGTATTTGTGATATGAACTCTGACTTATAACACAGATGGCCCTTAAGCAAATGTATAGTTTGAATGTCAAAATGAATTTTTAACTCATTTGCTGATTTAAAGTAGGGGGAAAAATGAATGCCCATTTGTTTCACCACTAGCTGACCAGAATATATCATGAGCAGTGTATATTTTAGTGAATGTGTTTAATGTAGGGGACAAACCACTTTTATGTTCTTATAAATCAAAGATGCCTTGATACTGTAAGAAATGTTTCAACAAAGAAGTATTGAGATGTAGTCATATGAATTTAGTAAATGTGATCAAAATATATACATCTATTAACTAACTATTCTTTGTAGCATCTATTGCATCAACTTGCAATGACCCTGGTATGCCTCAAAACGGCACCCGCTACGGAGACAGCCGAGAACCTGGAGATACCATAACTTTTCAATGTGATCCTGGATATCAGCTTCAAGGACAGGCTAAAATCACTTGCGTGCAACTGAATAACCGATTCTTCTGGCAGCCAGACCCTCCTACATGCATAGGTATATTGTTATTGTTGTTGTTAGTTCTTGATTTTTGAAAAAGACCAATGACATATGTGGGTGTTATATATGGAAAAGAAGAAAAATAAACATTAAACCTTTTAGCTTAGTATTAAATTGTGATTGAAATAATTTCAATTTCTGCTACAAAAAATGTTGAAAAACTGTGCCTTACATATTATCTCAATCTCTGAAATCTGTTGCTTAAGACTCTTAAAATTTTCTAAATATTTTATATAACTTTCTGAGGAGGCAAGGTGGTACAGTACAATAAGCAAGTGATTTGGAGTTCTAATCTTGGTTCTGCCTCATTCTCCTTCTGTGACCTTGGATAGGTCCCTTTTCTTTTCTGGACACCCCTTTCTTTATCCATAAAATGAGAGATTTTATGAATCTGTGTATGAAATGATCTATAAAGTCCCTTTTATACATAAATTCTAAAATAATAATAATAATAACTAAACTTTATATAAAGCTTTACATATATTTTCTTATCTGACCTGGCAATATGAGATATAAATTCTGCAGATGTGAAAATTCCTGATGTAGAAATAAAAGAACTGAGGATTTACATATAACTAAGGATGCTCAAATAGTGGGAAGATAATTAGGATTTGTATGATATTTCCTACAATAAAAATTCCCTCATAAAAAATATACATCCAAACACTAATAATTCAAAGTTTAGGTAGTTAGAGATTCATGACCTTATAAGTCTGCCTCCAGTTGTAATATGGAAAGTTCCCTATAAATAATCTACTAATTTAAAATCATTTCCTCCTTTGAAATTACTTCTCAAATATTCAGTATCATTTAACATATTTTAATTGAAAACTAGAAATTTTTCCCCTCAACATGAATAACTTTCAGTCAAGCAATTGACAAGAATTCATGGAGAAGTTACTATTTGCTGGATCTTGCACTAGGGGGCAGAGATACAAAGAAAAAAAAAGGGAGAGAGGAGACGAGTGGAAAGGAGAGAAGAGGAGAGGGAAGGAAAGGGGAAGAGAAAGAGAAAGGGACAAGGAAAGAAAGAGTTTCCACCTTCCAATTGGGGAAAACATTCCAATTGGGGAAAACAGTGTATACAGAATTATGTAAATGGCAGGTATACAGAAGTATACAGAATCAGAATAAAACTCACATAGAAAATAGTAAGTGGAAAAATTAATTTGATACTTTAAAAAACATTTCAATTTTTGCTCAATATGGATTGAGTAACTACACTATATGTCTCATAACAAATTTTATTTTGTTCAGGGCAACTGTTATGTATGTTCCTGAAATAAAAATCAGTAATAGTATAATTAATATAGTAGTATACTTTAAAATGATAGTATGTGTACATAAATTCTGATTCTCACAATTAATTATTTGAGTTTAAATATTTTAGAGTTTCATCCTAATAACATTAAAAATTGTTAATTTAATGATCTGTCACATTTCAACTTGTGTTTCCTTTATAAGCTATTTGGGGGGGATATAAAATTTAATTAAGCTGTGAGGAGAATCAGTGATAGTGAAATGACATACACATGGTTAATCTGCCATTTTACATAGGGTGACCTTGAGGGGATTTTGCAGTTTAAAATAATTTTTATTGTCATATGCATGGCAGCATTGAAATTCTCAGTAGTCCTATAAAGCTATGACATACAGCTTTTAAAATTCTCACAAAGCACTTATTGTAGAATACTGAGGATAGATGATATTTAATAGCAGTACTTATTAGCATTCTGAACATTGTCAAACAGCGATTCATATGTTTATTTAATATTTGGGGCCGTATTCACACTTTATAACTTTCCTGGGAATCTTCATGTGTTTTACCTCAAGCTGAGTCATCAGAAGACATGCAAGATTTGTGATTTCTTTTACTGGAATAATTACCTATAAAATCAACCATCTTGTTAGTTGGGTCTATTTTTAAATGAAGGAAGTCTTCAGGTTGTTTGCTGCATTTTTGGCTAGGGGGAGAATACATTAAACAGCTACCAGTTAATGTCTTGCAAATAGTCCTCTGCTTAGATCAAATTAAACACTTAATTCCAAATTCACACATCTTTCCCTCTAATTTATACTGCTATTCAGGCTCCAAAATTAGTCTTGTGATTGCCAATGACAAGTGAAAAACCTATTGTAGCTCCAAGAAGAACTAAGTAGGAGTCTAATGCCGAACTTTCACTCTTTTAAATTTTTTTTTAGAAAACGCTCACTCTGGTGTGAAATAATTCAAATCAGCAAACAATTATTAAGCACTTTTCACTTAGAGAGATACACAGTTTGAATGAAATATACCCCCTGCCTACAAGGAACTTAAAGACTAATAGGGGAAATATGATAATCTTTCTAGAAATGCTTCCCTCTTGAAAGATAAAAGAAATACACATACACACACATATATCCATATACATGTATATATGAATGTAATAAATATGTGTGTATGTGTGTGTGTGTGTGTATACAGAGAGAGAGAGAGAGAGAGAGAGAGAGAGAGAGAGAGAGAGAGGGAGGGAGAGAGCATATGAATGAAGACTAACTACATCAGTGCTTCTCTTGATTCTGACCTAGTGTCCCAGAATGTCATAATGTTACAGTGAGGAATAATTGTAGAGGTCATCTAGCCCAACCCTCTAATTTTTATAAAGAAGAAAACTGAGATCAAGAGATTGAGAGAAAGGAATAGCTTTCAAAATTCACACAGTGTCAGAGCTGGAAAGTGACTCCAGTCTTCTTTGTTCTCAGTTTAGTTGTCAATACACCATCTTACTCTTGACTTATTTCCAGCTCTGGTTTAAGACCTAAATGTCTTATCCCCTAGATGAAACACTTGCATTGGACTGTTGTCCTAGCTTTTACCTTTACTCCTTAAATTTTGATAGCCCAAAGCTACCTAGTAAACTTGGGGTTTACTGGCTAGATTTCTTTTTAAAAGACCAAGACTTAAACCCAATTCACTCGATCTCTAGCTTTAGACAGTAGGTCCCTGCCCAAATACCACTTAATGTCATTTTTTTGGGTTCTCCAGGCTCAGAGTGAATGTAAATGGTAACTGTTTCTCTTTTGGCCAGCAACCCTGAGGATCTTCCCCTCCCAGTTTGATTTTTTTTTTAATTAAAGGGACCATCCCTTGACTCACTTCTTAAAGAGGCCTATTCACTGAATGGGTGTTGCCTCACTCAGAGTGAGAAACTGAAAAGACCTTAGCTTTAAAGGGCCAAGGTGGTCTCCTGCTGCATCCTGGACCATCTCCAATTGTCTTGATCAATATCTGGCTGCTGGACCCAGATGGCTCTGGAGGAGAAAGTGAGACCACACAGCCCTCTATCACTCAAATCAAAGTAATTTGCAAGTCATGTCACCATCTCCTTGATGTCATGGTCCTCTTTGAGAAAGAAGGACATACCATACAACCTCCACTCCAAGACTGGTTCTAGGATAACTCCATAGGTTTTCACTACTAACCTCATACCTACACCTCAAGATCATCCCTTGTCAGTGGATTTCCTTAATAATAACCACAGGAGACACAATTAGCTCTAAGCAAAGATGTTTACTACGATGACATAATAAAAACAGTGACAAAACATTTCTTCCATAAAATCTCCCACAAATACATGGAAAATTGAGCTCAAACATAAGAACATTATGGTAGTGAGGCACATAGGGGGTATACAATCATGGCAAAGGTGTCTCACACTTAAATAACTACAACACCTAGAAGTCCTCACTTTGTGTAATCATCTCAATGCTTCTTCTTGAGAGAAGTATCTTTAATGCTCAGCTAAGTCTACCAGGGGAATCTGATCCTCTTCTGAGTCCAAAGCTGTCTTTCTTCTCTCTTACTAAAGCTTATGTTCTTTGAAACTCTTTCCTCTCTATAGTAACTGTATTTCTATATCTGTGTCTGTCTGGGCTATATTTCTGCTCCCTGCTGAATGCAATCTATCCTATTGGTCCAGTAGCATTCTTTCAAAGCAACATATCCCTTGTGTGTATGTGTGTGTATGTGCGGACAAGCATGCACAGAAATTCCCTTTCTCCCTTGTAGTGGTCTCCTTTACAATCAGTTCCCACATTGTCATCTCTCTTACTCTGAAATCCTGAAAATCACTAGGGTTTAGCTATTTAATGCCCCCCCCAGCTGGATAATGTGTTTGCTCAGCTACTCTAAGTGTCCCTTTCGTGACTCAATTAGAGAGGTGTTTACAACTCATAAAAGATTCAGAGGTTTTATACCTTATTAGGTGCTGGAAAAGATATATAGTTAGGATAAGATGTGGTCCCTACCCTCATGAAACTTAGAGTCTACTAAGGGATGTAAACACAAATATAGTTAATGGAGAGGAGTAGGGTGGATGTGGGAAACTTCACAGAGGAGGTGACCTTTTTTGGGATTTTAAAGGATGAAAACAAATTCAATCAGGTAAAAGAGAAGACATTTAAGACACAGAGAACAACTTTAGTTTAGATGTAAGCACAAGGTTACTCACTCTCTACCCCCACCTCCATACTTCTTGGGCAGTATACAAATACTGAGTTTAGCACCTAGGTAACATGAATAATTAGCTAAAAATAAGGAAGCTACATAATGAAAAAGGTAATGTGATCTTGTTTGCTTATATTGTGTGGTTAGTACTTAGCACAGTGTTTGGCACATAGCAAGTTCTTAATAAATGCTGTATTTCTCTCTCTTTTCTTTCTCCCCTCTTTCTTTCTTTCCTTCTCTCCTTTTGCACAAGCTGCCTGACCCTCCCCCTATTCATGGAAATATCCTCCCAAGTGACTTAAACCTCTTGGGGATGTTAACTCCCTTTAAGCTCTGTTTAAGAGTAATAATAGGCCTTTCCTTATTACCCCGGTTGCAAGTGCCATCCCTCCAAAATCACTATATTTCCTTATCTACTAAATGTGTTGTATTTCTTCAGCAGAATGTAAGCTCCTTGAAGGTATTGAATTTGCAGCCATAGAAACTAACTGACCCAGTGCCTGGCACTTGGAATGCATGTATGTTGTTTGATTGTAGTATGAAGACTGGTTGACTATTTAAGAAGCTCAAGTCTCATCCCAAGTCAGAGCTAATGAGGCCTATTCTAGAGTGGTAGCATGAGGAATAGAGAGGAAAGTGCAGGTTACTGAGTAAATTAGTTATAGTCCCTATAACCCTCAGAGGTCCCCACATTCAAATTCTTTGGGACTGTAATTCTGTAACACTGTCTATTCAAGTTGGTAGATTCACTAGTTGTATTACATGTTCACCTCTAATCTGTGTTCAAAATATTGCACAAGTTCTCTAATTAAAACTTAATGAGATTAAAATGGGAAATCAAGAATAGATGAGGGAACAAACAAACAAGGGAGCCTACTTAATTCCACTTTAAAGATTTTAAACAGTCTCAACCCAAAGCCTTTCTTGGGACCTGCAGGGAACAAAGGCATGATTTTCCCTTTGTTTTTCTTCAGTCAGTATTTGAATGTTATATCTGAACTCTCCCCCTCAGAGCACCCTGGGGCCAGTGGCCTGAATCTGTCATTTCCCATATCTGAAAACCTGAATTGAGTCAAATCTGCTTCTTAGATCTTCAAAAAAGTTTCTTTTCACAAGTTAGCATGTCCTCTCTGTTTTGTCTCCCTCCCTTTCTCTTCCCCCTCAACCTTTTAAAAAATGATCAACATCAGTTTTTTCTGTTCCTTTAGTTCAGTGAAAGCTGTTCAGGTAGAAGATCATTCTTCTCCACTCAACCAAAACTGGGCACCACACAAGCCTGGCACATAGTTGGTGTTTTATAAATGGTTATTCCCTTTCTCTTCTTTAAGGAATGGGCAGTGAGGGAATTAGGAAAATTTTGAGCCTATAAGGCTGAATTAAATAGCATGGTGATGAGATTTCAAGTGATCAGATTATCCTAGAAGGGACATCTTGTTCCATGAAGTTCAAACCAAGCAGAGCAAGGAAACCACATTTGCTAATTTCTGATTAATATTATTTAAAAATAATAATTTAAAGATGTTATGCTATTCTAAATATGACTTCTCAGTAATGAGTCCAGAAATTCCTATTCTTTAATAACACACATGATTTTTTACCAGCATCTGTATCAAACATGACCTTGCTAACATTGAATGGTCTTGAGTTTTGGTAATATTTCATCATTTATCTTGTCTTGTACTTAGTAGGATCTCAATAAGGATATATTAAATGAAAAAGTAAATTGTTCTCATAATATACTGGAAAAATAACTTCTTGGATAATTGATTTTTAAATAACCTTTCTTATTCTCTAAAATGAGAAAGAATTTCTTAAAATGTAAAGTGTTATGTAAGTGTAAGACCTTGTAGCATAGATGTCTGGCTTCTGTGAAAGGAAGAAGAGGATTCACATCCCAGTTTTTGATCATACTGTTTGTCTGACCCTGACTCAAAGCTCTAGGCACACTATAAATTGCAGAGAAGATGCAAATCCAAATTGGTAGAGGAAATCTCTTCACTGGTTAAATCATCAGTCTAGTTCCTATACCTATATCTATAAATGATTGTGATAATAATTTTATTACACTGTTATATATTATTATGTTATACATATATAGATACAGATAAATGTCTATATCTATATATGTCACCTAAGTGACAATTTATAAAATTTATTGTTAAATTCAAGGCAGATGTGATGGAAAACATATAGGAACTTAACCTCCACAGGTCTCAGTTCCCTTATCTATATAATAAGGGGATTCAACTAGATGGCTCCTGAGGTCCCTTTCCAGCTCTTGTTCTCTGATACTGTAAACTAAATGAAGTATTAACTTGAATGTGGCATGTAAAACATGTGTGTGGGAATCAGATGTTTGATTATAATTTTGTGACAAAATGGCCAAGATGGAAATCTTCATGGAAGAAGAGATAGAGTTTTAGTTTGTGTATTGGTATGGATCCAATTCATAATTATGGTTATGTAGTTTTGTTTTGTTTTTTAATGTTCTGAAAATGAAATTCTAAGGGAAAAAAATGAGGTTAAGTCAGGGCCATCACATACAATTTATTAACAGAAAATTTAAAAAAAATGTTGTGTAGCCCTCTTGAATATCAAAGGCTTAAATAATGGCTGAGGGGGTGGGTGTGAGAGTATTCCTAGGGAATATGTGCTTTCCTATAACAGGTTTATGATGTATAGTTTAACATAATTGATCAGCTTCTTTTTCTCCTCCTATCCCTCTCCTCTCTTGTGACAGCTGCATGTGGAGGAAATCTGACAGGTCCAGCAGGTGTCATTTTATCACCTAACTACCCACAACCATATCCTCCTGGGAAAGAATGTGATTGGAGAATAAAAGTAAACCCAGACTTTGTCATTGCCCTGATTTTCAAAAGGTACCATTTCTAGAGGAACACTTTTATTTAGCAGGGTTTTAAATGTCGCACCAAAAAACAAAATTGTACCATTTATGACTTTATAAAGTTCCTACTTCCATTTATGGCTGAGCCCCAGAGTATATACATACATACATACATATAGATAGATAGATATAGATAGAGAGAATGACAGAAAGGAAAACAGATAATTTTGTTTTATAGCCCTTTTCAGTGCCAAAATATGCACCAGAAGCAGAAAAAAAACCATGTGTGACATATCAAGCCTAGCTTAGGAACACTGAAACTGACATAACTGATTCCATCAGAGAAAACTTGCTTCGTGGAAAATTCAGGAAAAGTAATTGAAAAAAGTGATTTAGAGACCTTTTGTACATTGTCTCATTAATATAATATCTGGATTTGGTGATAGCTAATTTATCTTTATAATATTACTTGTCTAAAATTCCCAAGGTTAGTATTGATATTATCATGAAGATAACAATAACTTTTTTTAGAAATATAGGGAAAAGAACCTTCTAATAATTTGATTATTGTTAAAGGCTTAATTAATGTCAGACATTATTAAAAGTCTTAATTTTTAAAAATAGATTCTGTTAATCTATTTGAAAAAAAGTTCAAAAGTCATTAATATTTTTTCCTAAAATTGTTTTTATAGTATCCTGTTGAAAATTACTTCTTAGAAATCAAGGATTTCTTTTCTCTCTTTAAATTTTGCTTTCTGATTTTTATGCAGTTAAATGACTATGATGCTTCTATCTAGACTGAGTCCAATAGAGTCCCACAACATATTTCCTTTTCCAAGTTAACCAACTACATTTCAATTACCAACATATTGAATATATTTGCTTTCAACGTATTTGTTTAGTGATTAAACAAATCAGGCTTATATGTGGCCACCTCCTCTCAAAATACCATTTTAATGAAGTTTATCAATATTGCTTTTATATTTATGCCTTTGGATTTTCTGTGTATTAATGACAACCTAGCATTCTTTGAGTTTACTGATGACAAAATCACACACTGTGTGCTATTACATCCTAGCAGACAATTTGTAAGGATGCTAGGTAAATGCACATTCTAAGCCAGTGGAACTACATGTGATTCCCTTACACAAAGACAGTTCTTACTTTTCAGCTGTCCCACTGGCTAACCCTTATACTGGTAGTCAAAATTTTAAGGATATCTTTTGGGCCTCACCAGCACAAATGTCTAAAGATCTAGTTTCCCATCAGTTTCAGTTTCAAGAGTCAGTTCATGAAGTTTTCCAAAGCCAATCTTCTTTCAGGTTATACAGGATTTGCATTACTACAAATTAGCTTCTCATTTGATTTTATATTCTCTTAACCCAGAATATAGCGACTCCATATGTCACTCTGTGGATCACATGTTCCTCACCTTTTCTCTATATTCTCCTCTAATATAGAAATATGGTGCCATCAAAATATGTTGGCATGACCTTAAGTGTCATGTGGATTTTCTAGATTCCTATAGAATGTAGGGCATAAATGTATCTAAAGACCAGTAAATGACTGGTAGTAATAAGGTGATATCCACACTTCTTTCAGTATCATAAGTACAAGAAATGACCAGAGCCTTGATAATAGCTTTTAGAATCATCAATTCCACAAAAATTATCTTTGTTTAGAACAATTTATATTGGTCAAATGCCTCTTTTGTATTAATTAACCAAGAAAGACTGAAGAATTACCTGTAATAAATTTACTCAGAGCACCTACACCAATATAAAATCTGATGAACCCTCCAAACATATAAGCTTTGCAGTAACCACACAGCATAGCATAGATTTGGTTCAGCACTATAGCAAAGGATCTACATTGTCATGCCCCCCACCCAAAGCTGTCAGTGGTGGGTTTTTTTTGTTAGTTTTGTTTTGTTTTGTAACTACATTCAAACATAATTTGTCACATCCCTGATGGCATGAGGTGTAAGCCATGGTGAATTGTCACAGATGGCTCTGGCTAAATCTGTAAATATGTAGGAGCAATGGGTGAGTCAAGTAAGAAATAGCAAATTCTGAATGCTGGAAGGAAATGTTAATTTCAAAAAAGTATTAGGCACATACACACACACACACACATATATGGAAAGAGATCTATGTAGATCTATATTTATACCTATAAATATATAGGTATCTATATTTGTAGATCTATATCTATCTATATCCTAAGTCCTGTATTCCATGTGATGTTATTTTTATAATTTGTAATTCACATCACCAAGCTTTACTTACATTGTAAGGTTAGTCTATATGAAGACTATGGATCATAATTACCTTTGAAAAACCCTGTCCAAATAATATAAAATGATTAGCTAAACAGACATACTTTGAACAAATAGTAAAGAGGAGAAGAAAAGCTGATGATTTTCTCTGGGGACCCTGAGCAATTAGAACACACGTCTGTGGTTATTTGATTTGTTCACTGGTGGGATCAAGAAGTTCTGGAGCCCTTTATACTATATTCCCTATTATTTTCACCACTGGTTAACATTTACAGCGAATATGCCGTAATTGCTGTTTCAGAGCAACACTTTTTGAGTGCAGTTGTCAAGAATAATTGCAAAGAATATATTAACTGTTAAGCTAGAATTAAACAAACTGCCTCATACATTCAGTATTCTCGCAATCACTCCCTCCTTCTTTCGCGTAAGTCTTGGCAAATCATTTAGAACACTGTGATCCACTTCAGTAACATGAAATATATTCTACTGAGGTGAAAAAAAAAATCTCAGCAACTATCAAAAATATTTGCCCAGTCAGTTCAAATGTATACTGTATTTTCCTAAATGTAATGAAAAGTAAATTTGTTATGGACAGTCATAAAGAAGATGGATTGTTCTGAAACCTAAGTGACAAAGAATGAAGTAGAAATCATATTATTGAGCTCAATTCCGCTATGTAGGGAAAGCACTTAAAATAAGCTTACCAAAGGTCAAAAGACTGAGAGCCACATTTATTAGCTTGTAGTTCATGATGCCTTTTCCGCACAGTGCTACTTGAACTTCCCTCAGATTCAAATTATGGGGCAATGAAATTGCTTATTATTATTGCTAATCAATCTTTGTTGACTATCTAAAATGTGGGAGTTAATTTAAATATGTTTGTGTGTGTGTTGTGCATGCACACCTGAAAGAGATGTGGGGAGAGAGAGAGAGAGAGAGAGAGAGAGAGAGAGAGAGAGAGAGAGAGAGAGAGAGAGAGAGAGAAAGAGAGAGGAAAAAGAGTCATCAATACACAAAGTGATCAAAATTTTCATTTTTTTTAGTTTCAACATGGAACCAAGTTATGATTTTCTTCATATCTATGAAGGTGAAGATTCCAATAGTCCTTTAATTGGGAGTTTTCAAGGTTCTCAGGCACCAGAAAGAATAGAGAGCAGTGGAAACAGTCTTTTTTTGGCTTTTCGAAGTGATGCTTCAGTTGGCCTATCTGGATTTGCCATTGAATTTAAAGGTATTATATTCATTGTAACTTCTTATCTATTCATTCATAATGTGGAAGGAAATCTGAATAGAATTAATTTAGTTGAAAGCCTTTTTGTAAGTGGTCTTACCTTTAGTTTAAAAAACCCTGTCATATATGTCTTTGTTGGATATTAGTGTAAATTAGTGCTGTCCCTTGAGAAGAATAGGATATTCCTAAATAAACTTCTGAAACAGCTACGAGAGAGTAATGAAAATTATTTCAAAATATTTTACTTATCTAGAAAATTAAATTTATAGTTTTAATACAAACATATTTAGTTGATTATAAGAGCCTTGAAGAGTTATTCAGTACTTTAAAGTTGTCTTTAGAATTTTTAATCTGGAAAATAAAAAAAGTCAGTTTTGACTCCTATTAGTTTCATTTCCAATGAATGAAACAAATGGGAATTATATTTTCTTTCTTTCTCTATTCCTTTGTACCCCTCCTCAATAATTTTCCTGCCCTTTTCATCTGCAAAAAAATCACCAACATCATGCAGTGGTTGCATAAGACACAAGTTATTCTAAGTGCTGGATGAAATGTTTAATCTTTTCTTCCTTTGTCACTTTGTGTGAGTGGAATTCCTACATAATCTTAGAGCACACCAAGAAGAACTTTTTGGCATGGGCTCATTAAAACAATCAAATATGTATTGCCAAACTTATTTTCAGGGAACTATTTGAATAATATTGAAAAAATAGAATGCTAAGAACTCAATCTACTATGAAATTTGTGATTCTTTGAAATTCCTTTCACCTGAGAGCAAAGAATTAAACAATTAACAAGTAATTTCTTTAGTGGAGAAGATAATTTAAGTGTGTAAACTAAGGAATTGAAAAAATGAAGCAAGTTATTTCAGTAGCCAAAGTTCTTTAATGTACACTCTGGAGATATCTAACAACCCTGGGAATCTACCATGTTTTGACATAAACTTAGAAATGAAGTTCTTGGGTCATGCCATATAATTGGAAGATTTCTTACTCCCTCCCAATCAGTCATATTTTTAGCCAGTAAGATTCATGCTTTTTGCCATTTATTAACGACAGATTTATTTGTAATAATAAGAAAATAACCTCAACAAATAGTTATTTAGGAGCAGTCTAAATGTTGTCATCAAAGTAAGATATGATCAAAAAAGATCGTGTAGTCCGACAAATGAGAGATAATTAAAGAACACCCTACAAGCTCAACTGAAGTCCTTAACAATGTCAAGATAATATTTTATGAGTCCCATTAGTAATAGTAGTATAAGATGTGAACAAGAATCACAAAGGATGACCAGTCATGGATAGATTATCATCTCCATAGTTAGAGGGAATCCTTATATCATCAAGATCACATATCTACTGGAGTTATGGAATAACCATCTCAAAATTCAGCTCTGCATCCTGTTTTTCTGTTATGGTAAGTGACACATTTGCAGGTGGGATAGTAGCATAGACGCCCCCAAAGGGCATTCTAATCATGATATTTTGAAAGCTAATTCTTTATTGCTACAAACAAAACATAAAACTATGAAAAATGTGGGCCTAGAAATTTTGGTTCCCTCCACCAAAGGTCAGGTTTATGATGTAATCAGTGAAACAATTGATACTACCTTTCCTCAGGCAACAAAAGAAAATTAAAGGAAAAACAAAACAAAACAAAAATAATCATAATGTGCAACTAAACATATCTTGACAAATACAAACCTGTCAGATACCAGAGCAGCATAACTCACAAATTATTCTAAATGTAGCAGATTTGAGCCAGAGGATAAACCACAATGTTAGGATGTCACCAACCTAGAAAGAAAAAAAAATGACAGTGTCTATCCAAAAAGTGTACCAGTGATTTATCACTACATATATGGAATTGACAGCTATATATAAGAAGCAAAATATGAAAGATAGAGCACCATTGTATAAAGAAGCCTGCTAGCTGAACTAAATGTTACTAAATGAAATACTAAAGATAAAAATGGGATTTTAGCCAAACAACAAGTGAAGAAATTTATTCTTGAATTAGAAGTTGTAAATGTATTAGACAGTGATCTAGGCTGGAAAAAATAAGGCTGACTGTGGTGAAAACCATAAGTATTTACTTTAAAAAAAATAGAAAGAAAATATTTTAAAAAAATATTTGTATGACTGTATCTAGAGAAATTGATCTTACCTAATGTGGAACTACCTTAAGCATGCAAGGCTCATACCAGGAACACTTTGGGTGATGTTTTCTCTGATTATTATTGTAATTATATCAGTTAGACAAAAAATTTAAAAGCACAATCATGAGTTTCAGTGAACAAGCACTATTATGATTTTAGGCTAAATAAGAGGTTGAACATGACCAGCTATGTATTTTATGTAGGTAGTTTGAAGTCGTATGCCAATTTTAAAACATAGTTTCACCTGCTGTTGGTATTGCCTGGTAATTACCAGGCATTTTAAGGTTGTAATGTAAATTGAGTTTACATGGATGAGCATCTACATAAAAATGATGAAATGCTAAGTTACTGATGGGTTCCTTCCCTATAAAGGACATATTTTGGAAAATCTAGTACAAGGAGAAATTTGGTGTTTAGAGTAATTCATGAATCATTCCAAAGATTGAGAAAACATTTATTTCATGGGGGAAACAAAAAATCAGAAATTAAGTCACCAAGGGCACTATCACATAAGATCATTATTTTGCCCTGGAATATTCAATATATTTTCTTGTCCTTTCAAAATTTAGTTAGTATAAATCTGAAAGCACATCCCAAAAGACTGTTAGCAGTGATCTATTATGGGCAGCATCATGAAAAGGGAATGGATGTACAATCAATCGAAATCAGTCTGACGAAAGTTTTAACTGAAGCATAAGATAAAGAGTAAAGTTGTATATTGCACAGGGCTAGACAGGGGTAGAAGGAAAATAGTAGAGTGAATGGGGTTTACAAAATCATGAATTCTCAGCAGTTATGCAGTCTAATCCATATCTGAACAAGAATGCCCTTTACAGCATACTTCACAGGTGCTCATCCAAACTTTGAAGACCCCTCTTCATCCCACCGCACTCTGATGGAAGGCAGTAATATCTATTTTGAAAAGTTCTAAATATTAATAATTTCTCCCTAAGATCAAGCTTCAATCTGTTTCTGCAACTTATAAGGTCTACCTTATCATCTCCCTTGTTCTGCCATCTGGATCCAAACAGAACAAACCTGTATCTTTTTCACATGCTATCCCTTCAAACACCTGAAGAGAACTACCATGTTCCTTCCACTGCACACAATCCCTGAGGCTTCTGTGAACCTTCTCAGTGTCTTCAACCCATTGTTGTAAGGCATTTACTCAAATCCTTTCATTATATTAGTTGTCCTTCTTTAGATACTCTCCAGGTTTTAAATGGGTTGATATCTGATAGAAGAGTCTAAGAAGCAGCAGTGGGTGATGGATGAAGTCAGCGGTCTGAAACAAGAGAATGAGGGAATGATCTTTCCAGTTCAAATGAGAGTGAAAGTTAAGTTTTGTTTGCCCAGTCTGTCTGGGAAGCTAGAGTCAGCAGGCAGGTAGGTAAGCAGGCAACAAGCATTTACTGAATATTTACTGTTTGTCAGATACTATGCTTATATTTGGGGGATAAAAATACAGGCAAAAAGACAGTCCCTCAAAGAGCTTACATTCTAATGGGAAGACAATAAATAAAAGGGAGCTGAAAATCAGGAAGTGTGGTTAGAAGGTTCCCACAAAGTACCATAGGTATGAAGCCTGAAGAGTTAAGCACACAGCCATGAGGGAAATGAAGCAAGGCCAGACTGGGCCCAGTCTCAAAATGGAAAGACCCCTCTCCACTCCACCCCAATCCCAATCCCAGAAGTAACTCACCAAAGAGAGAAGGGGGCCAGCGTGGCGGAAGCACATTCCACGGTGAGAAGGCCGCAGAGTCTGAGAGCAGAAGCTGGTTGACCCTAATCAAAGTTTACCACGATAAATTAAAATTGTCAGGAAACTTGATGAAAATCTAATGTGACTACAAAAAGAGTTAATCATTAGGTGGCCATTGAGTGTGCTTTGTAGGTACACATTGGAATCATAGAAGAAATAATTAATATCATCCCAAATTTCCCATTCTAGCTGTTTAGGGCATTATTAAGTGTGCCCTAGAATTATAGAAGTCACAACATGTTCAGTTCTCTCTTCTTGGAGGAAAAGGAATATAATTCTTCCAATTCCTTACTTTAGCGTACTGCAGAATTCTTTTTGTACGTTTATACCTTTTACTCTAGCTTCAGTTGAGCAAGCTGAAAAAATAGAGCCGAGTACTTTCGAAATGGAAACACTGATGTGATCCTAGATATGTTCTTCTAGTATAATTTAAGTCCATAGATAAGTATATCTCCTTTTTTGGTAGAGAAATGGTGAACAATGGATTAAGAATGAAATCACTATTTTATGAGAAGATCAATGTAGCCGTTTTGTTTAACTGTATATATTTGTTACAAGGCAGGATTCTGGTGGCAGGAGGTGATATTGGGTAATGATGTCAATGAAAAAAAATTAATAAAGAATCTTAAAAATCCATTTCCAAAGAAATGACATATATAAAATTGGATAATAGATTTTTAATAATGTTCTAATAATTTATCAGGTCATCTAATTGTCAATTACCTTCTGATGTAAAGATGAAAACAGAACAATTTAAAAGAAACAAAAATTTTCCACTCCCCCATGTTTTGTGGAAGTGATATGTTATATTCCTTTCTTTTATAGAAAAGCCCCGGGAAGCCTGTTTTGACCCTGGAAATATAATGAACGGGACAAGAATTGGAACAGACTTTAAACTCGGTTCAACTGTGACTTATCAATGTGATTCTGGTTATAAGATTGTTGATCCTTCATCCATAACTTGTGTGATTGGCATAGATGGAAAACCTGCCTGGAATAGAGTCTTGCCATCTTGCAATGGTATGTGTTTATCACATATTTCCTTAGAAATATCTTCAGTAATGCATTTGGAAATAATTAGGGAACAAAATTTTCAGATTAATAAGTTAAAACATATGTATATATACGTATGTGTGTGTGTGTATATATATATACATATATGTTCATTTTTACACTAATGAATGAGCAAGAATTTGTTCCTACACCTTCTATATGTCAGACACCAGGGTAGACTCTGGGAATACAAAGACACAAATGAAATAGACCCTGCCATTAAGCAATTTACTTTCTTATTTAAGGAGACAGTAAGAAAACCCCAAATGGGGTCATGAAGAGTTGGACACAACTGAAAAAAAGAGTCAGCAAATATACAGCTCTGTCTGCCTCACTTAAATCCAATTCATGCATAGTCAATACATTACTTTGTGATGTCATTGGTCCTCTCTGAAAACACAGGATGAACAACAACTACACAGAATATAGGCAAAGTAAATGAAAACTAATTTCAGGAACAAGATCAGTTTCTGGTCAAGAGGTGGGGGGAAGGAAGTGTTTGGAAAGGCTTTGTGCAGGAGGCAGCACCTGAACTGAGCTCTGAAGGAATTAAGATATTGAAGGAGATAGAAGTGAGATAGAATTTTCACAGATATGGTAACCTGTCATATACGTATATGGACAGCATAAGCACGCATCATGTAAACATGAATGTTGTGTGAAGGTCTTATAAATATACCTAAGCTTATATAGAAATTTAACTTCTTCCTGATAAGTGAGCTAATTTCAGCGGAAACACTTGGGCTGGAATTGTGCCTCCTTTGACTTCATCATTACAGTTTATTTGCTTCAAAAATTATATGTATATATATACATATGTATATACGTATATGTATGTGTATATATATACATGCATGCACATATACACACAAACATATATGTGTGTATATGTAAACATAAGAATTTGTGGTATATATATATATATATATACATACACATATGTACACATATATATGTGTAAAAAATCAGTAAAGGTGTCTGTTTTTAGCTGCTGAATGGCAGTGACATTGGAGCCTTAATCTACAGAATTTGAGAACTAATGTAGCAATTATGGAATTTAAAGGACCCGTATTGTAGTTCTTACATCCAGATCTTGATTACATGATGAAATTTGACTGTGATTGTATGTGTGAGACACTGAAAAAATGTGGAAAATGAATGACTTTAATGTTGATTGAATGAATCACCTACTAATTTATCTGTTTTATATGTTTGCATTTCTGTATTCCAAGATCTTTGTAGGAAGGTCTTTTAAATAATGTAAACTAATCCTGATTGATTGATTGAAGAAAAAATCAACTGCATTCTCTAGTTGTTTTTGTTTGTCTTGGCCCGTAAGCTAGATGCCAAATTCTTTTCCTGGGATCTAGTGTGATACTGTTCAGTCAGTCAACAATCATTTATTAAGCACTTACTATGTGCCAGGTACTATTCTATGCCTTGGCAATACAAATACAAGTAAAATGAAAGATAGTTCTTGCCCTTGAGAACCGTACATTCTATAAGAGGGAAGACAACATATACAAGGGTGACAAAAATGGAGGGAGGTGGAGGAAAGGTATCTGGTCTAGGGGCATGATGGGGGAACATAGACTGATTCCAGCTTGATGAGAAATAGAGGCTGCCCTAAGGGTCCTCCTTAAATAGAGGTTCTGAAAGTAGCCATCCAATTAGAGGGAAGGGCTACAGGGGCTCAGGGTATTTCCATAGTATGAATTATAGGGATGAAATGATCTTCTAGGATGAAGAGTTTTCTAGAGTTAATAAAAAAAATACTGAATTAAGGAAATTATAGTGTTCAAAATGAATCAACTTGTAAACAAGTTACACTTTTTTCTTCTCTTCTACTCCTCTTCCCTATTATTCTTCCTCACCTCTGTTCCCTACCCACTTTTTCTTCTTTGCTTTTTCCTATTTTCATTCCATTTCTTTCTTAACTGTATGCCAAATATTTCATTATAATTATGTGAGGGAAGGGATTAATTGGAACATATAAAGATAATAAAAGCAAATCAAATGATTTTTTTGCAATTATGAGCTTTCAACACCACCACCACTCCCCCCAAAAAATTAAAGGGAGTAACTTCAGTTAACAGGCAATGCAAGCCAAAACAACTATGAAAGGGAATGCTTTGCAATCAGTGTTCCGTGACAATGGTGAAAATACATGGAACATGTCCTTAGTAGCATGACTGGCATACCAACGAGAGTCACCAAGCTGCAGCGTGACATGCTTTAGCACCAGCAGTTAGAGGCAGCCTCAGTGTTGTGCTGAGCTTTCTCAGCAGCTGCTGTAAATCCTAAACACATCCAATTGTGTGGGCCCTAAGATTAGTCCAGCTACATGATTTCTCTATTTTTGGTCCAATGATTAGGCCAAAATTCCATGACTATTTTTGTGTACAGCCAACGTCTGCAAAAATAAGCCTTCTTTGAATTCTGACAAGACTAAGCTGTGGATGAGAATTTTAAGGGAATTGCTGGCCCTCAAGATGGTACCTAGAGGGGATGATCTGACTCTGGCTATATGGGTTGAGCCTCACAGGCAAAGCAGTGGAGAAGAGATTCATAAACTTGGTTTCAGTGTTTTTTATTATTATTGCCTTGCCCAGAATCACATCATGTTAGAAATGAAAGAAACCTTAGAGATCAATTGATCCAAACCTTTCACTTCAGAGATGAAGCAACTGAGGGTTAGGGAAAGGAGATAATTAGCCCAGGGTCATACAGGTTATAAGTACTGGAGCTGGGATTACAACCCAGGTCTTTTGTCTCCAAATTCAGTGATTTTTCCATTACGTGGCATTGCTTTGAAAACTCCCACATTTTAAAGATGAAAAAACTAAGGCAAGAGAGAGTCAGAGGATCATTAAGGAATTTAAAAGCTGAAGGAATCTCAAAGAGCATCTAGTCTAAGGGTTTTTAATGGGGGGTCCACAAGGGTCAATAGATTTCAAGGGTTCTGTGACACTATGTGAAAGAAAAAGAATATTTACCTTTGTATCAATGTTATTGATTTGCTTTGGTACCCTGAGTATTTTATTTTATTAATTTTCAAAACATGATTCTATGAATGATTCCATAGGTTTTGCCAGACTGCCATGACACACAAAAAGGTTAACAATCCCTGATCCTAATTTAACTCATACTTAAACAGGAACCTCTTCTATAAAGTCCTTAGGTAGTGGCCATCTAGTTTCTGACCAATAGAGTGTTTTTACCAGAGTCATAAGAGCATATTAGTGACAGAGCTGGACTGGATCCCAGGGGGGCTAGTGATCTACAAATATAAGCAGAAGGAAAGACAGTCATTTCCCTAAAGGAACTTATATTCTAATGGGAGGAGACAATACACAAAAGAAAGTTAAAAGGGGAGAGAGTTGGACAGTCCTGACTTTGGCCTGAAAAGCTTATGTCCTCCTTAAATGAAGGTACTGAGAAGTCATGGGGCAAGGATATTTCCAGTTTGAGAAGTCCACAGATAGAATAAATTTCCTAGGTGAAGAGGTTTGTTTGGCATGGTAGAGAAAGTCTACAGAGTCCAGCAGCTTGCAGAAGAATGAATGAAAATGGTGGGCCTGCCATATATTTGATCATAATTATGTAGCCTAATATATAAGTTGTTTTATTTTCTGTGACAGATAATGGAAGTAGATTTTTCACTCAATTTCTCTCTGTCTCATCTCTCTGTCTCTTTCTTTTTTTGTCTTTCCTCATACTCACACCACTATCTCCCATTATCAATAAATGGTCATCCAACTTATGTTTGAACTGCTCCAATGATGGTGTTCTCACTACATCACAAGCCAGCTTATTCCCTTTGGGGGTAGGACTATCTGTTATAATATTCATTGTATCAAATCATTACTGGAAAGAGTCTTTAGTTATGAGTTGGAGTACATGACTCTGATGTCTCTTCCCACTCTGAAATTTTGTGACTATTTTTATAAAAGTGAGAGATGCTATGGAGCAAGATCAGAACAAATAAATGGATGGTGTTCTTTGTTATGTGTTATGAGAGAGAAGCTCTCATTTACTAATATCAATCTATATTGTATTCAGCTGATTTTACATTAGAAAACCATCTCAATTAAACAAATAGATGCACAACTAAGTTGCTACCATCTGTTTTGAGTATTACTGCTTTTCTTCATTCCTCTAGGAAATGATCCATTTAACATGTAAATTAGTAAGTAGGGAGACCATATTTGTCTTTTCTTCTGCTATCATATTAATATGTTGTAATTCAGTTTTGGATACACTGATAGCACTTCATTCCTACTCAAATATATTTCTTAAATCAAGTAGTCATTTTCAAGAAAATGAGTATGCAAAATGTAGACATTATGTTCTTTTTTTGTTGTTAAAGTCTTCATTTGATCATTAGTATCTGAAATAAGATCTGATATTATAGCATGTTTTTTTTTTATCCAGATAAGAATTTGAAGGTTGAAGGAAATGAGAAATAAAATGGCAGGAAAGTTTTATTTTATTTCACCTTTGATTTTTACATTGTTCTCTATTTTTATAAAACCCTATTCTTTCATCTTATCCTTGGTCAAAAAGAAATCTTTGTAGTCTCACTTGATAAAATATATCTGCAGGTGTCCTTGATCAAAAAAGGATTCTGGTCTCTGATGAGCTGGCATCAAAATGTCATCACAGATCATGATTTCTTGACTATTTTTCATCTCTATTTGCTGATTTAATTAAAACTCTATGGATAAACAAGTATTTATAACGAGGATTTATATTTATTTTAATGTATAGCTCTATGGATAAACAAGAAAAAAAGGGAGGCAATGAAGCACTGTGCTTGTCGAGTTTATGTGGTTCAGCACCTAGAAAACATTTGAGAGAAGGGCTACATTTAGATAGTTAAAGATCTATCAGCATTTCACTGGTTTTCTCCAGTTTTTTGCAAGCTTTTAACTTTGTTATAGAAAGTCTCCCCACTTAAAGGTGAC